ACGTGAGAGAGTGGGCCACGTGAGACAAGAGAGTGGGCCACGTGAGACAAGAGAGTGGGCCACGTGAGACAAGAGAGTGGGCCACGTGAGACAAGAGAGTGGGCCACGTGAGAAAGTGGGCCACGTGAGACAAGAGAGTGGGCCACGTGAGACAAGAGAGTGGGCCACGTGAGAGAGTGGGCCACGTGTGACAAGAGAGTGGGCCACGTGAGACTAGCAGACACACCAGACATGACCTTGAACCCACCGGCCATTAATTAGCGTCAGATAAAAATAGACTCAATGAAATATTAGCCTAAAAGTTGTATGATGGATTGTTGGATTATTTGTTGGATTAATCTTATCTACGTACTGTGCTGGTGTGTCCGCTAATGTCAGCACGACCTTGAACTTGATTGGATAGTGAATCATGGGACCGGAAGTGACCGATATTTTACCTGCGCCGTCCACTGAAAAATAAAAGGTGAGAACAGTGTCTGGTCACATTTTTTTTAAGAACTCTAGCTGGTAACTCTAGCTGGTAACTCTAGCTGGTAACTCTAGGTGGTAACTTTATCCGGTAACTTTATCCGGTAACTTTATCCGGTAACTCTAGTCGGGCTATGACGTCTTCCGATTCTTGTTGTGACGTCATTTATTTAAAATCGATTTTCATAAAATGTCAATTAGCGCTAAAGAAATCACGTGACATGTGACGTCACTCACCTGTGGGTGTGGGTGCCGAGACGACTCCCGACGTGACGTACCACGTGACACACAACGTCATCAGGACCACGACGGAACAACGACGCGGCATGACTAGACCGTGAGACGTCCCTTCTGCTACTGTCAGATCTGGCGAGCCGTGGACCTCCACACACGTCTGACGCCACTAGATCGCTTCAAATCTGGGGCGCTATAAATAGCACATCAGCTGTCGTCACCGAACCAGCGAATGTGCGAAACTATTTGAAGGCCTAGATGTTACGGCAATTGGCCGGCCAGATCGTGCATTGGCCGACTCGCTTGGCTAATGTCCGAAAAGCTTAAAATTGATATCGTATTTCACGCGTTTAACTCTCGTTGGTGGAGCAGCGCGCGGTGGGTGAGCTAGTTACGTGTTATAAAATTTGGTCATAAAAACACAAATATTCGACAAAAAATAAATAAAAACCAAGTGACAAAAATAGTAACACAAATATCTGACAAACTGCTATCAAAATTAAGTAAAAAAAATAGAGAGAAAAAAAACTTTTGTAAAAGATATAAACAAAATCTATCCAACAAAAAGTCGGGTGATCGGTTGATCGTGTGAATGAGTGATCGAGTGATAAGGTGATCGAGTGATCGAGTGATAAGGTGATCGAATCATCGGTTTGTTACATAATACATCAAACACGAAACGTATTTTTAAGTTAAATCTAATACCTTTTTATGGAAAAACAAGACAACTGTTGTTATTTTTAACTAAATATTTTCATTGCTTATAATTGGTACTTTTTTTTAAATTCATAGTAAAGGGAAATAATCCAAGAACACAAACAAATGGCTACGGGTAAAAAAACAATGATTTCAGACATGAGAAATATGTTGGTGTTTGGTTTTAGTTTTTTTTCTTTTCATTTTTACTTTCTCGTATCCAAAGTTTAGAGGAAGTCTGTAATCGAGCAACAAATCTCAATCGAGATTTTCTCAAATCTCAACGTTTCACACCTCCCTAAGTCGGAAAAACATAGTTTTGCAATTTTGTCCGTCTGTGTGTGTGTGTGTGTGTGTGCGCGTGTGTCTGTGTGAATGTGTGTCTGTGTATTTGTGAACACGATAACTTGAGTACCGTTACAGCTAGGTTGGTGAAATATCAACTTTTCAGTGATTTCCGTTAACCGGAACTGGAACTTATATACTGTTGGGTTTTCAGTACCATTTCAGATAGATAAACGAAATTTCATAAAAAAGAGAAAATCTAATTCTCTGCCTTCTGTCTAATTTTGAGTAATTTCCGATTTCTCAAAAACGCATTTGAATTTATAAAGTACTAATGTTACTGACTATTATGCACACATTGTTTGCTGTTCACTTGGTGCGCAGTTCTATTTTCTACGAGATTTGATTCTATTGTTTTCAAATTTTAAGTAACTAAAAATTGATTAAAGCTCATGTCTATATCCTGAGTTGCCATCCCCAGTAGTGCTATATAAGTAAATTCCAGAAAATTTAGGGGAGATCACTCCCTCTTTATTATCTTTGTCATCTGACAGGCTTTAGACAAGTTTCTGTGTACACGTTTATTTTTTCTATCAACCGTGCAAGGGGCAGCGACTCTCCATCACAACTCCCTTCAGTTGAGCTCAGCTGCCTCGGGTCTCCTGTCCCTCGGGTCTCCCGTCCCTCGGGTCTCCCGTCCCTCGGGTCTCCCGTCCCTCGGGTCTCCCGTCCCTCGGGTCTCCTGTCTCCCGTCCCTCCGGTCTCCCGTCCCTCGGGTCTCCCGTCCCTCGGGTCTCCCGTCCCTCGGGTCTCCTGT